AAACACGAGCGGAGATGTGGTGGGTGGCTGTGATGGCAGGGAGGGGAGGGGGCCGAGAGGATGGGCGGGGGCACGTGCAGGGCGGAGGAGTAGCTGCGGGATACAGCACCGAGCGTTGCAGGCGGTGAAGCCGCTGTGCGCCCGGGCAGCGCTTTTGGCTCGCCGACCAAACCAACTAAAGCAACCTAGTACAAACACAACACACACGCACAAGCATGCGCGAGCAGTTTTCAACTGGTTGAACGAGTCGGATGCTGCACCCTCCTCACCCACCTGGCGTCGTCCTGCCCTCAGGCTCCAGGAATATCTGGTGGCTGGCCTTGTCAGCAAACCGCACAATCTTGTCCTCTATGGAGGGACAATACCTGCGACGAGGGGGCATCAAGCAGAAGCAGGCGCATCATGTCAGGGTCAAGCTTGAAAAGGGGCCGGGCGGCGGCCATTACGTGAATGCAGAGGAAGGGAGGACCGGCGGGAGAGCTGGCCCAAAGTGCAGGGCGGCCCCAGCGCACACGGAGCAGCCCCAGCTGCAGAGCCTGGCGCGACCCCTCGACAGGGCCGGGGCCCATCGGGCTCCCTCAAGCCGCAGGCCGCGCGGGTTTCACCAGTCAGACCCGCGGCACCCAAGATGCGCCTGGTGGCCATCTTCCCCCGAGTGTCACTCCTTCACCCAGAAACAAGGCCAGGCCTCAACCACAAACCCCACACAGCATTCCAGCCGGCAAGACCCCCCTGAACCGCTAATCACAAACCCGTGCCGTCCGCAAAAACCTCATGCCATCAAAACGCCCGCCCACCTCGGCCCCTTGGAATCCACCCAGCCGCCATAGACGGGTGTTTCATGCAGGTTCTCGCGAATCAGCCTGTGCGTCTCCGCCGTGGTGTGCGTCAGGTGGCACGCCATCTGCTCCCTCGGCACGTGCGCCGCGGGGTCGAACGAAAACCACCGGTCCTCCTCGTCCCCCGGCTGCGGCTCGAGCACCGAGAAGTTCACGGTCCGGGAGTCCACGCGCGCGGGGGTGCCGGTCTTGAGCCGGTCTGTCTCGAAGCCGAGGGCCGCGAGCGCCTCCGTCAGCCCCGCGCTCGGCGCCTCCCCCGCGCGGCCGGCGGGCATCGACGCGCGGCCGACCCAGATGCGGCCGTTCATAAACGTGCCCGTGGTCAGCACGACCGCGGGGGCGCGGAAGACTAAACCCCAGTACGTCCTGACGCCGGTGACGTCATCGTTGGCGCCGACCTCCAGCCCGACCGCCATGCCCTCGCGGATCTCGAGGTTGGGGGTCGCCTCGAGCACGCGGCGCATGGTGGCGGAGTATTCGACCTTGTCTGTCTGCGCGCGGAGCGCCCAGACGGCCGGCCCCTTTGACCGGTTGAGCACGCGTTTCTGGAGGTAGCAGCGGTCGGCCATCTTGCCTATCTCGCCGCCGAGCGCGTCGCACTCGTGGACCAGCTGCGACTTGGCGGGGCCGCCGACCGCGGGGTTGCAGGGCTGCCACGCGATCTTGTCGAGGGTGAGAGTCAGCAGCAGCGTGCGCGCGCCGAGGCGCGCCGAAGCGAGCGCGGCCTCGCAGCCGGCGTGGCCGGCGCCGACCACGATGACGTCATACGCCTCGTCGCCGTCGCCGGCCCAGGTGGCGGCGGTGGCGTCGGCGGCGGGCGTCGGGACGCCGGGCGGCGGGGGGGGCGCCGCGGCGGCGGCACCACCGTTTTCCGCAGCGGCGGCGGCGGCGCAGGGGTGCTGCTGGGGTGGGCAAGATGTGCGCGTCGCCACGCAGAGGGGGGGCATGCAAGTGAAAGGATTTTTCGGCGTCTGCGGCGCTGCCATGCACGCAAATGGCGGGCATGCCGTGCGAACTTGCAGCGCTGTGCACCACCGCCACTGCCGCCGCCTCGCGACACAGTTGCCCTCACCTGCAGTCCGCTGCCCGTGCGCCTGCAAGCACCATTGCCCCAATACGATGCTACATCCTGTACAAACGCCCGGCTGGCGCGGGGCCTCCTGGTTCCTGTGGCACCAATGCTGGTGGGGGGCCCGTGGCCCGAGGCGAGCCCAGGACGAGCGCGGAGTGAGTACATTTTGGCACCGTGGTTTGTAAAATTCTATGGCACGTTGTGCTATGACACATCAGATGCGGTGAAAGGTCGGCCTGCAGCAGTACGGGTGAGTGCTACAGTGCAGCGGTGTGTCGCTAGCAGCATGCCCCATATGATGCTCGACCAGTGTAAAATCAATAGCTGGTATATATACGTGCATATACCACCCTGCTCCCCTGTTTGTGATCACGGCGCGCGTGTTTGACCTCGCTGCCAGCCATTATGTCCGACGGCGGCTACGATGATGACTTTGACGACTATGACGAGGACTTTGAGGTGGGCGCCGGGGCATGGCTGCAGATCGCACTCACCCCCGATGCGCGGCGCTCGTTTGCTCACACGCCAGCCGGTGCGCTCCCGCTGGCGCCGCCGGCATGTGGCGGGCGACGGCATGGCCCGATTATGTACATGCGCCCACCTGCAGAGCGAGGAGGAGCCAAGTACTGCCACACAGCAGCGGCCCGTGGCAGCGGCCCCCGTGCAATGGGCGGCGTCGGCGCAGCTGCCTGGTGGCGAGTCCTCACTGCCCCGCTCTGCACAATTGGTAGCGCCTCCTCGTCAGCAGCAGCGACGGCCAGAGCAGGGGCCGGCAGCAGCAGCGCCGGCGGCAGTGGCGACGCCCGGCCTATTCACGTTCGAGCCAGCGCCCGCCGGCCCCAGCGACGCTCAACGGGCGGCGGCGGCGGGGCGCCTGGCGCGCTCGCGCCTTGTGATGCGCCAGGTGCGGCCGAGGGCGACGGAAGAGCGGCGGGTGTGCGGGACGCATGATTTAGAAGCGGGCGCGGAGTTTATGCAACAGTCGGATCCTGAGCTGAGTCATCCCAATAGCCAGCCGTCAGCCTATTTTGTGAACTAATCAGAGGGCTGCAGTCGTGGTACTTCAAGCCACAAGAGCATGGATTCAAACTCATAACGCCACACCCCTGAGCGATGAACGTTAATACCCCACCCCCAACCCAATCAGCCGCCTCCACACACGCAAATATGGAGCAACAAACCTGGGATAATCAATGCAGGTCGAGCTGTCCGAGGCGGCGCTGCCAGATCTCTTCAGATCTGAGCCCCTCTCAAGGCGGGAGCTCATGGCGCGGGGCCAAGGCCCCTTTGCCGCGGCCCGCCTGCGCGCCGCCGCCTGCCAGGCAGGTGCTTTTTTTTCCTCGTATGGCTGCGAGCTTCCGCGGGCTGGACTGGCTTGAAACTGTCCGAAAATGTGCACCACTGTGCCACTTCGCTGGCAGCAGAGCAGGCAATGGTTGAATGCGAAATGCACGCACTCTTTGTAGGGTGTACTGCTCAAAGATTTTCCCCTCCTTTGGGCCGCCAGGCAGGCGTATTGGGGGAGGACGTCCACAACGCGGACTGCCAGTCCGACCCGGCGCCTCCCCAGTCCGATGCCGCCTGCCAGGCGCCGGACTGCGGCGGCGCCAGCGGCGGCGGCGGCGGGGGCGGCGGCCCAGTCAGCTCGCGGCGCGGCGCGGCCGCGGAGGGCGGGCGGCGGAGGGCGCGGAACGCCAGCAGCAGCGGGGCGGTCGCAGCAGCGGCGGCGGCGGCAGCAGCAGCAGCAGCAGCAGCGCAAGGGGGACGGCTCGATGCGTTTCTGGACTGGGCAGGCGCGCAGGTGATGGCCGAGCTCGCGCGCGGGCGGAGAGGGGAGGGGCTGTTTGGCAGCTGGGATGTGGCGGGTGTCGCCGGCGGCGGCGGCCTGCAGGCTAGCAAGCAAGCGGTGCCAGGCGGCGGGGACGACGACAGGGGCCGCCGGGTCAGCGCCGGCAGCGTCGCACTCTCGTGGGCGCCGCTGCTCGCCGGCCGCCGCGCAGTGGCAGCGTGCTTCGCGCCCGCGGCGCGTGCCGGCGGCGGCGCTGCCGGCGCCGCCGGCGCAGCATCAGAGGTGTGCATTGCGTACACACCTGCCGCTACGCGGCGGGGCGCCGCGGGGGCGGCCGGGGCGGCGGTGACGTCGGATCAAAAGCTGTCCAGCAGAGGGCTGCTCGCGATCTGGGACGCGGCAGCCGCGGCCGCGGCTGCAGCCACGACGCAATCTCGAAGCGGCGCGGGCGGTGGCGCGCCCCCGGCGGTGCTCCTGGTCTGCGAGGGCGCGCCCGCCGCGTGCTGCTACGGCGCCGGCAGCTGCGGCGGCGTCGTCGTCGCCGCGACGGGAGACGGCGCCCTGTGCGCCTGGGACCTGGGGGAGCGGCCGCCAGGGCCCAGATCCGCGCGCGGCGGCGATCTGATCGAGTTCGAATTCAAATTGCAGGAGGTGAAGATCTGGGCCCGGCGGCCATCGTTCAGCAGCGAGGCGACCGCGCTGACTGATGCGGTGGCACCAGAGCCGCCGGTGGCCGTGGCGGCGGTCGCGAGCGGCCGCGGCGCCGCCGCTGCTGCTCTCTGCGGCGGCCTCGCGGGCGGCGGCGGCGGCGGCGGCGGCGGCGGCGGCGGCGGCGGCGGCAGCTGCTCGCTTGTGGTGCTGGGCGCGTGGGGGCGGGTCAGCGTATGGTCTGCGCGGCTGCTGGCGGCGGCGGAGGCGGCGGCGGCGGAGGCGCACCCGGGGGTGCGACCGGGTGCGCTGCTGGGCGGGGGGGCAGGGAGGGGGGCAGGCGCCCCGTGGATGGCAAACTTGTCAGGGGACCGGGACGGTGTTTGGCTTTGCAGGGAGGCGCGCGCGTGCGGCCGGCCGCCTTTGTGCCGTTGGACAACCCCACTGCACCACACGCGCGCTGAGCAGCGGCGGCAACAATACAATTGCATGAAACTTGCCCCCCTCCCCTGCAATGCGCGTCGCCGGCCTTTTGCTGCTAAATGTTGTGCCTAATATTGCAACGCGGATGCAGGCAGCCGCCTCATTTTGGTGCGAACCCAAGAGTGCCTTCCCCTCGGCCGCCCGGCCCCACGCGCGCACGGCCCCTCGCCGCCGCTGCCGCCGCCGCCGCCGCCGGCACACGCTGAGGTGGCGGCCACCTGCCTCGCGCTCGTGCCCGGAGAGGGGCAGCAGCTGCTGGCCGGCACGGCGGGCGGCGTCGTACTGCGAGGCGCGCGCGTCGGCGCGCCGCGGGCGCCGCGCGAGTTTTGGCCATGCGAGGCTCGCCCGCCGCTGCGGCAGTGGGAGTTGAACGGTGCCGATGGCGGCGGCACGGCTGGAACGGCGATGGGGCCGTGCGGCGGCGGGCTGGGGGCGGCGGCGGGGGCGTGGGGCGCGGCGGTCACGTGCCTTGCGTCGTGCCCGCTCTGCCCCGAGGCGTTTCTCACGGGTTACAGCGACGGCGCGCTGGCGCTGCACGCGCTGGGGCGCGGCGCGGCGGCGCGGGTGTGGAGGGGCATCGCGGCGGCGCCGCTCGTTTCAGTCAGGTGCGCGACTCTTCGTAATTTTCAGTTCATTTGTTGCAGAATATCTTTCGCCCGCCTGCGCCGACGATTGTCGTCGGCGGCGGCTGTCTGGTGATGCGCTGATCCAGCTGGCCAGCTGGTGGCGTAATCAAAGAGACGGCGGGACGGGAGGGCCGCTGCGCCCTGGCGGCCCCACCTCTGGGAGGTACACAACACACGGTCACACGCAGCTTAGCGCCCCCTTCTTGGGGCACACAGCTAGAGACGAAATCTTGACTGCCCGTCATTGTACAACATCTCTACACACACACGCACACGCACACACACACACAAGTACACACACACACACACACACACACACACACACACACACACAAACCGCGCCCCGCTACCCACGACACCTCGGAGCTGGCCTCTGCCTCCATTTTCCACTTTGAACGCCCTACATCTGATCTGACGGCCAGCAATCGTGCGGCCGCCCTGCAATCCCCAAATCAAAATCCCAACCCAGGTGGTCCCCTGGGCGGGCCTGCGTGGCGCTGTCACTGGACGCGGCCGGGCGCCTGTCTTGCTGGGACTTCAGGCTCAGCACCAAGGGCCCCGTAGCTGCCCTGCAGCTGCCGGGCGCGCCCTGCCGCGGGCTGGAGGTCTCCCCTGCAATGCCCAGCGCCGGCGCCGACGCCGCCGCGGCGCGCGCGGCGCGGCGGGCGGCGTCGCGGGGCGCGCGGCAGGGGGAAGGCGGCGGCGGCGGAG